AGAGTGAGTGAGAGAGAGAGAGAGAGAGAGAGAGTGTGTGTGTGTTTTAATCTGTCAGCATATTTTGTTAAAGTCTATTATCTTATAGTATATAAATTGTATATAAGGCAAAGTATATAAATATATTTCCAAATCATTAATTTTTTGCCAATTTAACATTTGAGATCATTTAACTAAAAGTTTTGCTGAAAATAATATAAATTACCCAACTTCACTGCCTGTAACCGGCGTTCTTCTTCTCTATTATAATATATTGCAATTGAAATTTTTTATTTATTTATTATATAATTATGTACTCTATCTATCATATAATTTATAAAGATAAATTTTAAATTGTTCCTTTAATGAATTCAAAATTATTAAGAACAATTTTTTTTCCAAAATACATGAATACTTTACATGCATTAATTAAAAACTTTAGTCATATAAAAGTTACTTTTGTCAGTAAACTAAAAAGTTTTTCTTTTATATATTTTCAGTTATATAAAGAAATTTCTGTTGTTTAACAAATAAATTAATGATATTATCACAATCAGTTATCAAACCAAATTTTAGTATATTATTATAGTAATTTTCTTTGAAAAAAACAAAGGAAAGAATGATAAAAGAAATAATGTCTCATATTAGCTTCACTAATTTTAAGTGAAGAAATTAATTTTTTAAAATTGCTTAAATTCAATATCTGAAACAGTTTTTCTTAATAGTTTATTACTTTGTTTAGTTTTATGACTTAAATGTGCATTTTTAAGGAATTTATATATTTTAAATTCTACATTTAAATTTTATTTATTTATTTTAATAAATTTTATTGCAATGTCTTCATTATATATGATATAAAATTATTTTTACCAATAAAAATAATGAGTATTTTTTTTATCTAGTGAAACATATTCATTATTATTTGGAACAAATCCTCTGAATAAACATAAACTGGATGAATCCAAATTAGGTAAGTTGAAATTATATCAAATGGAAATTTTATACATAATAATAGTGGAAATTAGTAAATTCTACATATAACTTTCTATTGTAAAAATAAAGTACTGTTTAATGAACTGCATTTAGATACCCAAAACCAGGATAACTTTATTACAATTGTATTGCAAAACTTTATTTAACTTTATAACTTTATTGTAAAACAAAATCATACTACATTACTAATTGTAAATGATTATTCTGTTTTTTGGCTGTTTATGTGCACTTGATTCAGTGGTATTTTATTTTCACTATGTAGACAGTTATGAAAAGTTTGTAATAATAAATATAATCAAATTTCCATAAAAAATTATATTTTTAAAATAGAAAAATACTAGTATAATTATTCAAGCTGCTGGATTCTTATTGGGCTACATTATGCCTAATAAACTATTAATCTAATATATAATCGAGATGGGTTGATGATAATAATAATAATAATAATAAGCGCAGAGCCCAAACGGTTAGGAATTGAAAGTTGAAATTTGGTACACGATAGGGTACGTCACGAAGACGCACACTAAGAAGGGATTTTTCGAAATTCCCCCCCAGGGGGAGAGAGACAGGATTAAAACTTCTATATACATTATGGATACGAGCCCAAACGGTTAGGAGTTGAAAGTTGAAATTTGGTACACAGTTAGGGTACATTAGGAGAACGCACACTAAGAAGGGATTTTTCAAAATTCCTCCCCACGGGGGAGAGAGACAGGATTAAGGCTTAACACTTCCATCAACAATGGAAGTGTTAAGTAACAATGGAAGTGTTAAGTAACAATGGAAATGTTACGTAACAATGGAATTGTTAAGAGAAAGCGACATGCGATACGCAGATGCAGTTTTTTTCGTTTTTGCGGGAAATCGAACATATTTTTAGACCCATTTAAAAATTCTCTAATTAGTTTGGAAACAAGAGGACCCAATTCTTGCATTCTGTGAAAACGAGTAAGGTTGACTGTAACATAATAATCTTAATCTTAGTTATCGTTACTTTTGCCCGAGCAACGCCGGGCCCACCTGCTAGTAAATTAAATAATTTGACTAGAGGTGAACAGTCAAACTGCCATCTTGTGTTAAATTTAACAGCTAGAAATGCCATATTTACTTGCTTATAAGATGACCTCGCATATAGGCCGAGGTGTGACTTTAAAGATCAAAATAAAGAAAATTAGATTTATTAATACAATTCTAATTTTATTTCATTTAATCACAAATAAAGTATCAAATGAACACAAATGAACACATTGTCTCACAAAAATTACTGGCATTTTAAACTTTATGGAAAAATCTTGTAAAATTGACAACATAATTTGTTTGTGTAAAGCTGGACAATTCGAAACATTTTTGCTGATTCTTAACAGTAGAATCCAATCTCTTTCAATTACACTTATGAGTTTCTCCGATTTCTGAATAATCATCTGTTTTCACATGGGAATAGATTAAAACTTATATTGGGCATTCATGTAATTTTGGAATTTAATTCAAAAGCTTTGTTTTTCCTATTCCTATTNTTCTCCGATTTCTGAATAATCATCTGTTTTCACGTGGGAATAGATTAAAACTTATATTGGGCATTCATGTAATTTTGGAATTCAATTCAAAAGTTTTGTTTTTCCTATTCCTATTCATCTTTACTCCTGACAATATACAAGAATGATTCAAATGACCCAGATAAAATACTTATGTTTTTAAATACAAGAGGATTCAGTAAAAAATTCAGTAAAAAATGCAAATACACAGTTTACAAAAATTATTTGCAAAATGCAAAGTATCTTTAACTTGCATGTATAGGACAACCTAGGAATTTGAAGCTGTGATAAATGAATAAAAACCTTGTCTTGTATGCGTGTAAATACGGTAAATAAATTTTGATTTAAAATATTCTGGAAGAAAACATCAGCCCAGTGAGGGACTCGCATCCCCAACTTGTGCTTATTGTGAAGATGTGTTTTCAGTTATGCTACCCCGATCTCTCTCCAATCTTTCTTCCTTGGGTTTCTTGATAGTTTATTTGCCATAATATAGCCTAATAAGAATCCAGCAATTGTTTGAATAATTAACATACACAAACAACCCAATAATTAATTTGTTACATACTTGCTTAACATTTTTTGACAAACTAAAGAGAACGTTTTTTTTTGTATTATTTTAATACTATATAATAAAAATTTGAAGCTAATCCTTATTTAAATTAATCGATAATTTATTTTAATTCAAATAAAAGCTAAATTTATGCCTTTTTTTCTGTTAAATGGTTTTTTCCTGAATAAAAATTCAAGCAATAAAATTTAAATACTAACTTTAAAAATCTAACATTTAAAACTAGAAAACAATTGAAACAATAATAATAAAATAATTAAAATGTTAACATTTAAAAAGCTTTTAAAAGTTTTTAGAATGTTAAAATGCCTAAGAAAGACATTGAATGATGCTAAATTTTGCATTTAGCAATTTGTATGTTGGAAACTCATTAAATGCTTATTAAATTCTGCATATACGTATTAATAATTTTATAAAGTACTGTTCTGTAGTATAGTATTTACTAATGAACATTGATCACTAAACGTTTTTTAAATTTTGAAAATTCTAAAAATAAGTTAAAATCTACATTACATGAAAATTTCAATATTGCAGCTGATTTGCCAATAAAAAATTTTGTGATGTTACCATGTGGAGGTATAGGAGTTGATTCTGATACAACATGGAATGAACTTCATACAGCCAGTGCAGCAAGAATGGCTGCTGGATGTGTTACAGAACTTGCTTTTAAAGTTTCAACAGGGGAATTAAAGGTATTAGAAATGAATAAATTTACATCATCAAAAATTATATTAAAATTTTTTAAAGTTGGACATAGATGAATATTAGGTTTTGAATATTTAGATTTTCAAGTTAGCTAAATGGTCTATTCAAGTATTTTTAGACTGTAGAACTAAGTATCAAAGGACACCTAATTTACTTGAAAATTTGTTTGAACCTGCTAAATTAGATAAAATTTATGAATAAATTGTGTGGTGTTTATAACTTTATCATATCTATATTGTATGCATGTTATATATATTACAAAAATGTGTGTGTCAATTATGATCATTTGAAATTTTGATTTATTGAATTTTTTAAAAATTTATGTAATGACTGAATGAATGAGTCTCTAAGCTCTGAAATTTTCTTCTTTCTATGTACATACAGACTAAATTGTTTTTACTTCTAAGGTTACAAGGTAAACTTTTATACCAAAACCAGTCAAACAACTTGCCCAATGACCAATATTGTCTCAAAGAGATTAAGAAGATTTTTGCTAATTTCATGTTAAAAACTTAATAGATAATACTTGGTGTAAACTGTAATACAAAAAAAATATATTGTATCAAAGAAAGAAACTATGATGATGATGATAAGTTTAAGATAGTAATATGATTTTTAAAAATATTTCAAATAATATTTGAAGTTAAGACTATTTACAAAAATATAAAAACATTTTCGAGTCTATCTTTTAATCCTTGAAACAACCACAGAAGTAACAGTTATATTGGTTTTGAAGAAAACCTTTATAAAACAAGATGAATAAAGATAGGTAAAAAATTCACGAAGTTAAAAACAATCAAACATCAGCCTTTTATTTGAGGATCTGATGCTTTTACATTAAAAATTATTCGTCTTGTTTTATGAAGGTTTTCTTCAAAACCAATATAACTGTTACTTCTGTGGTTGTTTCAAGGATTAAAAGATAGACTCGAAAATGTTTTTATATTTTTGTAAATAGTCTTAACTTTAAATATTGAAGAAAAATATATTCAGAGTCAACATTGAACATTGTGAATATTTCAAATAGTCTAGCCATCTATATAGCATTATGATTTAGTTTCTACTATGATAATCAAATATCAGATTAATTTCAGGGTACAACTTGGCTAACTATTAATTATCAATTTAAAGCTTTGAATTGATAATTAGTTACTATTTGTATGCTGCCTGTTGCAAAATTTGCAACTTGTAAAAATTTTATTTGTCTGTTATTTTGGGGTGGCAAATAACCACAGAGCAATCCACCAAAAAAAAAGTCATTTGGTGAAAGAGAGTATCACAGAAAATGAATCAGTATTGGTTTGATACAACTTTACTGTTAATGAACAAAAATAACATTGCTTGAGAAACTCAGTCATAAAAACTCTGGATTTTTCTTTCATATTGTCAATTATCCTTTCATTTCAGATTGGTACAAAAAATCACAGTAAGTGAAAAAGTAATTTGGCAAATAAAAGAAAATTGTTTGGCAAATGGATTGATGATTGCTATTAAAAAAAAAAAAAGCCAGTGTATGACCCCTGGTATGTTAATAAAGTTTCCACTAAACTGAATGATATTTTTACATTTTAATTTGCCAGATTATATAGATCAAATCAGTCATTTGACTTTAATTTGATTTGTGTTATGTAATATTAAATTTTATAAATTAACAAATAATTAAAAGAAGTTTGGTAATCCAAACATTTAATTATTCACTTGAATATGCAACACTATTTTCTTTACTATTGGACAGGGGCGGACTGGCCCTAAAATTTTTGTGTGGAAAATTTATTATCGGCCCAGCCCATAAACAAAAAAAATGTATTTTTTTCTATTTATATTTAAATATATTCAAAATACAATATTGATGAAAATTACAATAAGCACAAGTTACATTCTACAACATTAATTTTTTATTTAGAAGTTTGCTTTGTTGAGCAGTAATATTAATGACATCATCAGAATGTATTTTGTTTAAAAAATCCTTCTCCACTGACATTAACATGAAGGCTTCTAGATTTTCTTGCGATATACTTATAAGTATCTTAGCCTGCTTTTAATTAATTTTAACATAGAAAACCTTTGTTCACGGGACACTTGTGTTACAGACAGATAGTAGATGTTTGTATGCTTGACCAAGTATAGAATAAGCGCCACTTAATATGTTATATCTGAATAATATATTATAACAACAAATAGAGCAATTTTTGCAAGCAATGCAGTAAGAGGATAAAATCGCATCTTTATTAGTTTCTACTTGATCATCAGTAGAATGTTCATTTTCGTTTAATTTTATAAAAGTTTCATTGACATTTTCCTTTAAAATATTCCATGACGATTTAAAATGTTGCAATTCTGAAATAATATTGTGTTGAGTAGCTACTGGATTAAACTGTATTAAAATACTGCTTAATTTTTGAAATGCGTTTTCAGGAATATTTAGTGACGGTCCCGTAAATTTTGGTCTAATGTGCTTTGAACTCGCTGTAAGATGACAGTCGAACTCTCCCCGGTTGCTCTCTCTCCCACCTTCCCTGATCTAGATCGAGGACGTGTGAATTTGGTCCGGGAATGCGACAATTAAATCGTCTTACACTCGTTCCTGTTTACGAAATAAATCATCGATTTATTAGCTTTAGCTCGACAACCAGTTTCCCATTGGAGAGGGGGTGAGGTCCCGGCCTCACACTACAAAATAGATTATTTTTAATTAAATCGTTTGGAATATAGAGAAATTATTATTGAATAACATTTTTTACTTACCTAAAATAAAGGAAATAATATAAGTGGCCATTAAATTTGTTATGACTACAATCATCGCTTTGGTGGCTAGGTACAAAACTAATAACTCGCATTTCCGTAGTTTAGCATTAAGATTCATAGGAGTGGTGAATAGTTTCTAACAATGTAAACAAATGAGCAATTTTCTCTGTTTAGAAGGTAGTTTTGATTATTTTTTTTCCAGGATACTTTCTGTTTGGGCCGAATTGGGCTAATGTAGTGTTTGACTCAGGTCGGCCAAACTAATTTAACTTCGGATACGGGTAGGGCCAGGTAAAATGATACAGGCCTACACATATTACACCTAAAAATTGAAATTTACCTTACTTAATGAAAAAAATAAATGAATTTTTTAAGATTAAACTTAACCAAACGGTACATTATGTACAGTACATATTTAGAAAAAACGGCCCAAATTGTATACGGCCCGTGTGGAATTTTCCACATTTTCCACATGGCCAGTCCACCCCTGCTATTGGATCTGACAATATATAAGTTCTAAAACTAGTCAACTTTTTGGCAATGGATAAACAGCCTTTTTAAGTCTAGAATAAAGCTATATTAATGATGATTGAACATTTGTTATCTTATATTGTAAGTTTATTTTGTAGTTAGTTTTAGTAACAACAATAATTAATAAGAATATATATTTATGTGTATCTGTATATATTATATTTGTATATTTTATATATGTATTTTTTTCTTTCTTCAAAATACATTCAAATTCTTTATATTATAGTAGAAATAATGTAAAAGATTATCATAAAATTAATTTGATACAAAGTTCAAATATAATTATTACTCTGTGTTGGTTTTTTTCTTTGTTTGATTTTATATTTAGATGCTAGGTATAAATTAGAATTATTTAAATATATTGAAATATAGAAAAATTAGAACTAATTAGATATTTACTTGTCATATTTGAAGTTAGAAGCTTTCAGTAATACCATATCAAGATAAATACAATAATATATTGCAATAATTTAGCATTATTTATAAAAACTATTGTTAACAATTTTTAATATTACTTGTGAATACACTCTTCCTGAGTTTATTCATGATTTTATTTTTATAGCTTTGTACTCATGTATTGGCCAAAAAGTAATCTGCTGTCATTAATTCTTTAAAAACTAGATATTCATTAAATGTAATAAAAAGTAATTGAAAATATACTTTAAAAGTAACAGATGAGATTAGGAATGATTATTTATTATTAGCCTCATCAAACTTCTGTAAAAAATATAAAGGATTCTGATTTTTTTTTACAAAAATTTCAAACAACATAATTGTAACTTACAAGGAGAGCCTACGGCTTTGGGGTAACGGATTTTGATGATAACTCTTTACAGTGATGTAAAATACTAACTTGTAAAGTGCAAAACTCAAATATAACCAAGAAAAACGAATATAATTTATTGAAGCAATATTATATAATTACATATCATTGTCAGATGTACTGTACATGATCGTGAATGATACTTATGATAAAAACATTCAAAACAAAAATTCTGTCTACACCAAGAACAACAAATAAATGCTGCTTTTTTTAAGAGGTATCATCAACACTTTTTTCCTCACAACGTGAAGAACTTGCTTCTCTTGACGACATTTTTTGATTATAAAATAATTTTTCAAAATAAGTTTTACTACACAAATACGTCTATTCGTGTCGAAATTTAGAAACGAACTGTTAAAGAGTGAGTGAAAAAGAACTCCGATAGAAAAAACGCTCCTAGTGAGAATTAGATCGGTCACCGTTAGTGATAACAATTAGATGGGAAAGTTGACACATAGGTGTCAAGAATGCGCTGTTATTGTCAACAAAAGTATAAAAATATTAGACTTGGAATAGTAGAAATTAAATTAAAATAAATAAATAATAAGAAATAAATGAATGAGTAAATAAATAAATACATTATAAGTATTTATGAATTAAAAAAGAAAAATATACGCGAGAATCGAACCCGAGAACTCAAGCTTATGAATCAGACTCGTTACCACTCTGCCACAGAACGCTCGAATAGAAATACGTATAATTTATATATAAAGTTCTAAAAAACTTTAAGCTCGATTTTCTCGATTATATTTGAGTATTGCACTTTAGTATTTTTCAGGTAGTACACTCACATGGTGTACTACCTCTACACCAAAGATCATCAAAATCCGTTACCCCAAAGCCTTAGGCTCTCCTTGTTAATAAAATTAAATTATAAACAAAATGAATTTTTTAACAAATATAACCTTTATTTAACCTACATTATTAATGCATATGAGAAAATTTTTTACCTGTAATATACATGATGCAATGAATTAATGGAAATTTTATTTATAATATAATAGTTTATTTTTTTAATTTCTAGAATGGTTTTGCTATTGTTCGACCTCCAGGTCATCATGCAGAATATCAGCAAGCAATGTAAGTATGGTATGTTAGGTTTTATGAAAAAATGTTTGTCTGAAATTTTCTAAAATATTTTTATCATTATTTTAAATAATATAAAACAAATAAGTTCAAAGAAAATTAACAAACTAATATAAAATTAAGTCTTAAAAATTCTGACATACAGATTTTAAAATTTTTTAAAGAACTTCAAATGTTTTGTCTTTTTTTATATATATTTGTTAAATTTAAAAATAAAATTTTACACACTACAATAATTATAATTAAAGTAATACTATTCACAGTTAAATAGTAAATTTAAACCTATATTTATGAAATTTTCTTATTCTATTTTAAAGTATACAGCATTATTGTTGTCTCCAATTAAAAATGCTATGTTTAGTTTACAAAGCATGTTTGTGATGATTATGCATTTTATTTATTATTATTTAATTTTATTTTTCCTGTAAAATAATACATATATTTTGACTTGTAAGCTTATATTATATACAATAGTAAAATTTACTTTACTAGAGCATAAAACTTAGAACAATTCAAATTTGAATGCTTCAGATTTTAGACCATTTTTAGAAAACATTTAAAGAAAAGCATGTCATCCTATGGTAATGTTTTACATATAACCTTGTTGCTAAATACAATAACAAAATATGTTCTATACATGTGCTCAGCAATAGTATTCTGTTTTAAGTATTTACTGAAGATGAATGAAAGTCCAGAAGCAATTAAATTTGAATTGCTTTAAGTTTTATACTTCAGTAAAGCAAATTTTCCTATTGTATTTTAATGTGAAATCTTTTATACATTTTACACCATATAGTTTTGTAATTAGTTATTAAATAATAACTAATTACAAATAATTAATAAACTGTTATAAATAATGATGTTTTAATGTATATTTATTTACTTACAAACATTTTGGAGATGCACAGTTTTATTTTTCTGTTGAATTAACAGATGAATTAATAATGTCCTATAATTTTAATTCTGTATGAAATTATAAAATTTAAACACACTAGATTTGTTAATATCTTATTAAAAATTTCAGGGGTTTCTGTTTCTTCAATTCAGTAGCCATTGCAGCAAAACAACTGCGACAAAAGTTAAAACTTGAAAAAATTTTAATTGTGGATTGGGTAAGTAAATTTATAAAGATTTAATTGTTTGATAACAAGGTTTTATAATTGTCCTAGTAATATTAATTTTGAAATTATTTTAATTTAGGACGTTCATCACGGAAATGGTATTCAACAAATATTTTATGACGATCCTCATGTATTATATATTTCACTTCATCGTCATGATGATGGTAATTTCTTTCCTGGAACTGGTGATTTACAGGAGGTTAATATATTCTACACATAAGAAATATACACAATGATTTTTATTGAAATAAAGATTTGATAAAGTATATTATATGACATTTACAGGTTGGTACAGAGGATGGAATTGGCTTTAATGTTAATATTGCATGGTCAGATAGTCTGAATTCACCAATTGGAGATGCTGAATATATGGCAGCATTCAGGTAAATAAAAGTTTGAACTGGAAAATTAATTTGAAGGATTTGATTTGTATTATTATTAGAAATATGTAGCAAATATATATTTATAAAAGTGTAAAATTATAAATTATATAAAAAAATTTTTGGGGAATAATGTTAAATTTCCTTTAAAATGTTAGACATATAAGAGAGTTATTGTACTCTTGATTATTATAATTTTTTAATCATTGTAATTAACCCTCCGTAAGTCGCTAGGAATGGGGCCCTTACTTGAGTCGCATGGGTCTTACAGACCCAGTGTTTTTAATATGAAATAATTCAATTTTATCTATCGCGTAAAGAAACTACAGTTTCTTAGTTGGATTCTGCGCTTTGTTTTCTATCTAGTGATATAAATTACTTGCGTATTGACAAAATGAATTTTTTAATATTTATTTTTATGTAATTCGATACGAAAAACGCAAAAAAATAAACATATCAAATTTCAACTCGCTGTAATTTATCTCCTGTTTCACCGATTGCCATCGGGTTTGTTTGTAAGTGGGGAAGAAATATGACACTTTCAAGCGAAGTGAGTAGAACTTTTGCACTACTGCGAGAAAATTTGTCAACCGACCCCGCGTTACC